GACAAAAATATAGTAATATTGGGAAACTTTCACACCCCACTTACACCAAAGGACAGATCAGACAGAAGGAGACAATGGCTCTGAACGACACATTAGACCACACAGGACTTAACAGATACATATGAACATCCCATCCAGAAAGAGCAGAACACACATTCTTTTCAAGTGCATATGGAATATTCTCCAGGACAGATCACATGTTATGCCACAAAACAAGTCTCAATAGGTTTAGAAAGATTGAAATCATATCAAATATCTTTTCTGACAATGATATAAAACTAGAAATTAATTATAAGGAAAAACCTGGAAAAAGCCCACAAATATGTGGAGGCTAAAAAACCAATTTGTCAAATCAAAGAAGAAATAAAAAAAACACATGGAGACAAATGAAAATGTAAACATAATGGGCCAACGGGAAGCAGCAAAAGCAGTTCTAAGAGGCAAGTTTCTAGCAATAAGGGCCTACCTCAAGAAACAAGAACAATCTCAAAATAATATAACCATGACACCTAAAGGAAACAGATAAAGAGCAAACAAAGCCCAAAGTTAGTAGGAAGAAGGAAATACAGATCAAAGCAGAAATAAATGAAATGGAGACTAAGAAAACAGAGAAAAGATTGATGAAACCATGAGGTGGTTCTTAAACAAAACAAAGAAAAAAACAACAAACTGATAAAACTTTAGCCAGACTTATCAAGAAAAAAGAAAGAAGATTCAAATAAATAAAATCAGATGAAAGAGAAGTAACAACCGACACCACAGAAATACCAAAGATTAAAAGAGACTACTACCCCTTTTGTCTCCCTGAGCAGCGCCATGGTGGTCGGCAAGAACAAGCGCCTTACGAAAGGCGGCAAAAAGGGAGCCAAGAAGAAAGTGGTTGATTCATTTTCTAAGAAAGATTGGTATGATGTGAAAGCACCAGCTATGTTCAATATAAGAAATACTGGAAAAACATTACTCACAAGAACTCAAGGAACCAAAATCGCATCTGATGGCCTCAAGGGTCGGGTTTTTGAAGTGAGCCTTGCTGATTTGCAGAATGATGAAGTTGCGTTTAGAAAATTCAAGCTAATTACTGAGGATGTTCAGGGCACAACTGCCTAATTTCCATGGCATGGATCTTACCCGTGACAAAATGTGCTCCATGGTCAAAAAATGGCAGACCATGATTGAAGCTCATGTTGATGTCAAGACTACTGATGGTTATTTGCTTCGTCTATTTTATGTTGGTTTTACTAAAAAATGCAATAATCAGATTCGGAAGACCTCTTATGCTCAGCACCAACAGGTCCATCAAATTCGGAAAAAGATGATGGAAATCATGACCTGAGAGGTGGTCAAAAAATCAAAGTCATCAAAAAATGACTTGAAAGAAGTGGTCAATAAATTGATTACACACAGCATCGGAAAAGATATAGAAAAGGCTTGTCAGTCTATTTATCCATTCCATGATGTCTTCGTTAGAAAAGTAAAAATGCTGAAGAAGCCCAAGTTTGAATTGGGAAAGCTCATGGAGCTTCATGGTGAAGGTAGTAGTTCTGGAAAAGCTACTGGGGATGAGACCGGTGCTAAAGTTGAATGAGCTGATGGATATGAGCCACCAGTCTAAGAATCTGTTTAAAAGTCAGACATTTAATGGTGACAAATAAAAAAATCATATTTGGGGGGGGAAAAAAAGAGACTACTACAAGAAACCATATGCCAGTAAGTTAGACAACCTGGAAGAAATGGATAAATTCCTAAAAACACAAACTTCTGAAACAAAATCTGGAAGAAATAAAAATCTGAACAGACTGATGACTTGTAATGAAACTGAATCAGTAATCAAAGAACCCTCAACCAACAAAAGTTCAGAACCAGATGGCTTCACAGGTGAATTCTACCAAACATTTATTTAAAAAAATTTTTTTAAGTTCTATTTATTTAAGTAATCTCTGTACGCAATGTGGGGCTTGAATTCATGACCCTGAGATCAAGAGCCACATGCTCCACTGACTGAGCCAGCTAGGTGCCCCTAATTCTACCAAATGTTTGAAGAAGAGCTGATACCTATTATTGCCAAACTATTCCAGAAAATCAAAGAGGAAGAAAAGCTTCCAAATTCATTCAATGAGGACAGTCTTACTTTGCTACCAAATCCAGAAAAAGACACTACAAAACAAGTAACTACAGGTCCATATTATCCCTGATGAACACAGATGCAAAAATCCTCAACAAAATATTAGCAAACTGAATTAACAATTTGTTAAAAGGACCATTCACCATGATGAAGTGGGATTTATTCCAGGGATGCAAGGATAGTTCAATATCTACAAGTCAATCAACATGACATAGCACATTAACAAAATAAAGGATAAAAACCACATGATCCTCTCAATAATTGCAGAAAAAGCATTTGACAAAATTCAGCATCCATTCATGATAAAAACTCCCAACAAACTGGGTTTAGAGGGAACATATCTCAACATAATAAAGGCCATAAACCCATAGTTAACATCTTACTCAATGGTGAAAAACTGAAAGCTTTCACTCTAAGATCAAAAACAAGACAAAGATGTCCCAACTTTTATTCAAGACTTTGTCAGAGAGAGAGAGAGAGAGAAAGAGAGAGAGAGAGAGACAGTGCACAAGCATGGGGAATGGCAAGCAGAGGGAGAAGCAGGCTCCCCCTTGAGCAAGGAGCCTGACATGGGACTCAATCCCCAGACCCTGGGATCATGACCCCAAGCCAAAGGCAGACACCCAACCAACCAAGCCACCCAGGCATCCCACCCCAATTTTTATTCAACACAGTACTGGAAGTCCTAGCTTTAGCAATGAGACAAGAAAAGGAGATCAAAGGCATCCAAATTAGTAAGGAAGAAATAAAACTTTATTCTTTGCAGATGGCATGATACTACATACAGAAAACCCTAAAGGCTACCAAAAAACTATTAGAACAAATAAATTCAGTAAAGTCGTGAGCACAAAATTAATACAGGGAAATCTGTCACATTCTGTACACTAATAATGAAGTAGCAGAAAGAAAAATTAAGAAAAAATCCCATTGGGGCACCTGGGAGGCTCAGTCAGCTAAACCTCTGCCTTCGGCTCAAGTCATGATCTCAGGGTCCTGGGATCAAGCCTCATGTCAGACTCCCTGCTCAGTGAGGAGTCTGCTTCTCCCTCTGCCTCTGCTCCTGCTCTCTCTCTCTCTCAAATAAATGGATAAAATCTTTAAAAAGAACATAAAAACTCTAATTTGAAAAGACATATCCACCTCCATGTTTGCTGTATCATTATTTACAATAGCCAAGATATGAAAGTAACCTAAGTGTCCACCAATAGATGAAAGGATAAAGAAGAGGTGGTATATATACACAATGGAATATTACTCAGCCATAAAAAAAGAATGAAATCTTGCCATTTGTGACAACATGGATGAAGCCAGAGAGTATATGCTAAGCAAAATAAGTCAGAGAGAAATAAGTATCGTATGATTTCACTCATGTGGAACTTAAGAAACAAAACAAATGAACAAAGGAGAAAAAAAAGTGAGACAAACCAAGAAACAAACTCTTAACTACAGAGAACAAACTGATGGTCACCAGAAGGGAGGTGGGTGGGGGTTGGGGGGGCATAGGGGATGGGGATTAAGGAGTATACTTGCTGTGATGAGCACTGGGTATCATATGAAGTGCTGAATCACTATATTATACACCTGAAACTAACTTAATACTATAAGTTATTACAGTTTATAGTATATATACTATATAGTATAGTATACAGTTACAACTATACTGGAATTAAAAAAAATAAAAACCTTAAAAAAAAGATGTGATGCGCATGCATGCACGCATGCACATGCGCATGCACACACAGACACTGGAATCTTACTTGGCCTTAAAAAAAGAAGGAGATCCTGTCATTTGCGACAACATGGATAACCTAGAGGGTATTATGCCAAGTGAAATAAGTCAGAGAGAGAAAGACTAATACCATGTGATTTCACTTATATGTGGAATCTAAAAAACAAAAGAACAAACCAACCAACTAGAAACAGATTCATAAATACGAAGAACTAGTGGTTGCCAGAGGGGAGGGGGTTGGGGGATAAGCAAAATAGGTGAGGGGATTAAGAGGTACAAACTTCCAGTCATAAACAAACAAGTCATGGAGATGAAAAGTACTGCACAGGGAATATGGTCAATAATACTGTAATAATGTTGTATGGTGAGATGGTAACTACACTTATCATGGTGAGCACTGCATAACGGATAGAATAGTTGAATCACTATGTTGTACACTGGAAACTAATATAATGTTGTATGTAACAAGACGTTAATAATAAAAATAAAACAAATAAGTTAACCATACACTTAACACACGACCTAGACTTCATTCCTAGATGTTTACTGAATAGAAATGAAAATGTATGTCCACAAAAGGACGCAGACTCAAAGTTCAGAGCAGCATTATTCTTAATAAGTCCCAAACTAGAAGCAACTGAATAAACCATCAAGCGGTGAATGGATTTCCATACAAATTAATTCTGGTCCATAATAAGAAGGAACAAGTGACTGATACATACCAATAAGGATGAATCTCAGCAGCACTGTGTTAACTGAAAGAACCCTAATACAAAAGACTGCATATTGGACCATTCAACTAATATGAAATTACAGAAAAATCAGAACTAGAGTGATAGAAAGCAAATCAGTGGTTGCCAGGAGCTGGAGCATCAGGGCAGAAACTGATTCTAAAGGGTCACAGAAAAACTCTTCCAGATGATGGAAATGTTCTAAATGGTAATTGTGGTGCTGGTTACACTAATGTACACATTTGTCAGAATTCTTGTTTTGTACACCCAAATTTGGTGAATTCTATTGTAGGTAAATGTACCCCAATAAAGCTTATAAAAAAAGAAAAAAGACTTTACTCCCACACCAGTATCAGAACCAGCACACAGTGAGCTCTTGGCAACAGAGCTGGAAGAACTCATCATTCTGATCTACTACCTGATGCCACAGAGCCCGTTGCAGACAGCGACTCCTCGTATAGTGATGCCGTGGACAGTTCGCTGGTGGTAGCACGATGGCTCTTCTTCCCACTATTGCCCGGGACACACTGCAGAAAGTAAGGGCACAAGAAGAGACTGTAACCTCTCAAGTATCATATTACAAAGTAACTGGCAGATCTTCAACTTCACATGTTAAACAGAATAAAGTGCATACATAAGGGACAGGTCAAACAGTTTAGTCTGTCCCCAAGAATGTGGTTTTGACCTTTTTATGTAATATTAAAGATACTGCTGGTTTCTGAGCACCTACTACACACCAGGCACCATACAGTTGTATGTTTTTTTGTTTTGTCATTCCAAAAATATATACTGAATGTTTTGTAAGTTCTAAGCACTATTCCCAAAATTTAGGAATAGAACAGTGAACAAAACAGAGGTCCAGCTATCCTGAGCTTACACGGCATGGGAAGAAGGATTATAGGAATATTACTTCATTTAATCCTCAGAATAAGCCACCAAGGATTAATCTCTTCATTTTTCAAGTGAGGAACAAAGAAGGAAGGCGGACTGACTTGGTTCAGCTAACATGCCGAACAAGGGCCAGAGCATCTGCATTCCTGTCTTGTTCCACAGCCCAGCTTTGCTCACTGGGATACACTGCTTTACACATTTCTAGCAAGTGCACTAATATCAGACTTTGAAATTTCAGCATATTTTCTTGTTCTGGATCATCAGATTGTGAACATTTGCCAAAAAAGGGTATTATGCCTTGAAGGGAGGACTGAAGAAAAACCGTAAAGATTCACACTTGTCTTGAATCCTATACCTAAATACAGAACATCCTATTCACCAAAGTTTAACTGGATACATACCTCTGAGAATGATTTTTAGGTAAAGAGATGAAAAGTTAAAGGAAAATAACCATGCAGTTTTTGGTCTTGAAAATGATGTGCGTAAGTATGGAACTAGTTGCTTACCTTACTGAGTAGTAATGAGCAGAAAGTGGCTCCCTCCTCCCCTCCGTCCATACCTGGTATCCCTCAACTGTGCCTGCAAGACTGCACTCACTCCATTCAGGTCTTGTCAGTATGGTTTACTCCTGCCTTACCACAACGTAACCCCAGTTGTAAGTAAGACAATGTATTTTACAGGCAACAGATATGTTAAGTTTAATGACTGGATATCAATTTTTTTTAACATTTTATTTCTTTATTTCAGAGAGAGACAGAACATGTGTGCACGTGAGCAAGGGTAAGGGCAGAGGGAGTCTCGAGCCGACTCTGGGCTCAGCACAGAGCCTGACGTGGGGCTTGATCTCACCACCCTGAGATCATGACCTGAGCGGAAATCATGAGTCGGATGCTTAACTGACTGAGCCACCCAGGCATCCCTGGATATCAAATTTTAAAGGCGGGGGTGTGTGGAAACCCAGTTCACATAGAAAATGTGAAAGACAGCACTTTGGGAATAAACCTCACAAAGTATCTAAGAAACCGGGACATAGAGTCTTTAATTCCTGCTTTTAAAATGGAGCCAGGTAGAGAGAGTGCCTATTTCTGGAAAACAAAGCTGCCCCCTCAACCCCAGCTGTGATGCTGATCACCTGCTAGGCCTTCAGTGTTGAGCCCCAGGGCAAGAACCTTAATTTTAATGAGGACCCACATTTATGTTCTCGCTCATGTGCTGGAGGTTGGGGTCACTTACATACTTAGCTTCCGGGCATATATCCCTTCTCATCTGATCTGAAGATTCACAGGATCTGAGCATGTCTGCTTGCAGTAAGTTTAGCTGCAGTGGTGAGCTGCTCCTTGAGTTAACGCACAGGTGCTCTCCACACGGCGTCTCCCATTTTCCCTCTGCCCACCTCCGGCTGAGGACGGAGGACGGCGGCTCCAGGTGTGGAGTCACTGCGGATACCGGGGGCGGTGTTCCAGAAGAGCCCGCTGCTCCCAGGAACGCATATGGACCGAAGGATGGTGACAAGAGGGGACAGCCAGGGGGGTCAGGCAGGAAAATGGTCATCACAGTATCTAAGGAAGGAGAAGGGAGAGCAGGAAAAGACTGCAAGTCGTTCCATAAAGGGGGCTTAGGCAGCAGGTCAAGCGTGGTCAGCGACGCTGCGTGCTCTCTTCCCACAGAGGGCAGGGCCGGGGCGGGGCGGGCCGGGATGAGGTAAGGAGCCAGGCTGGGAACCATCAGGGCAGCCGGGAAGGACAGGCTGGAGGCCTGCGGAGAGGAGGCAAGGGAAGGGCCCCAGGGCTGCCTGTACTGGCCATCTCCTCCCAAGCGGGGACCGAAGGTGTTCTGAGCGACCCTGCGGTCCCACAGTCCCCGTGGCTTCTTTCGTCTGTGCTTCTCCTTCGTGCAGCCAGCTGATCGGGCCCGCTTGGAAGCAGAGTCTCCTGAGAGCATAGAGAGGGAGGCATATCATGGAAGGCTGGAACCAAAAAAGAAGACAGGAGTGCCCCTTGCGGTAGTTATAAGTAGATTAGGAAGGAATAAACACTTGTCAAGAGTAACCATGTCCACTCCTACTAACACTGAAAACATGAGCAAGATCCCAGATAACAGCTGTTATTGTAAAATAAACTTATTTCAGTATCTCTGAATCACCTGCTTATAAAATCAGCTTCTCGGATCCAGGATCTAAGAAAGATCCCAGATAACAGAGTTGAGAATTTATTCTGTCAGCATCTCTCAGTTTCTTAAAAGCAAAACCCCTATTCCTTATTCCGTATCTTCCAGTACTTACACATATTTATAAAATTGATAAATGAAATACAGTTTTTCAAACATAAGTACCTTGAACACACGAATGTTTAGCTTTGTTTCTGCTCTCTTGCTGAAGACAGGATCTGTAGGGTGATGAGAGGATCTCTTCCCGGAATTTATCAATATAATTCTGTTCCTCCTTCTGGGTGTGGGCTGACGGAACAGCCTTCGTGAGCCCTATGTGTTTAAATTCTTCTGAGGTCAGTGGAGCTGGGTGTGCGCGTGGGGTCCAGGGCTCACACGCTGGGGCAGCATCCTCTGCTGGAATCACTTCTGCTGAGGTAAGGAGATAGATTTTATTTTTTTATTAACATATAATATATTATTGGTTTCAGAGGTACAGGTCTGTGATTCATCAGTCTTATATAACACCCAGTGCTCATTACATCACATGCCCTCCTTAATGTCCATCACCCAGTTACCCCAATCCCCCACCCCCTTACCCTCCAGCAACCTTCAGTTTCTTCCCTATGATTAAGAGTCTCTTATGGTTTGTCTCCCTCCCTGGTTTCAGTCTTGCTTTATTTTTTCCTCTCTTCCCCTATGATCCTCTGTTCTGTTTCTTAAATTCCACATATCAGTGAGATCATATGATAATTGTCTTTCTCTGAATGACTTATTTCACTTAGCATAATACCCTCTAGTTCCATCCATGTCGTTGCAAATGGCAAGCTTTTTTTTTGATGGCTGAGTAATATCCATTGTATATACATATACACCACATCTTCTTTATCCATTTATCTGCCGATGGACGTCTGGGTTCTTCCCATAGTTTGGCTATTGTGGACAATGCTGTTATAAACATTGGGGTGCAAGTACCCCTTCGGATCACTACATTTGTATCTTTGGGGTAAGTACCCAGTAGTGCAATTGCTGGGTCACAGGGTAGCTCATTTTCAACTCTTTGTGGAGCTTCCATACTGTTTTCCAGAATGGCTGCACCAGCTTGCATTCCCACCAATAGTGTAAGAGGGTTCCCCTTTCTCCACATCCTCACCAATATCTGTCCTTTCCTAACTTGTTCATTTTAGCCATTCTGACTGGTGTGAAGTGGTATCGCTTTGTGGTTTTGACTTGTATTTCCTTGATGCCAAGTGATGTAGAGCATTTTTTCATGCGTCTGTTGGTCATTTGGATGTCTTCTTTGGAGAAATGTCTATTCATATCTTCTGCCCATTTCTTGATTGGATTATTTGTTCTTTGGATATTGAGTTTGATACTTTTTTTTTTTAAAAGATTTTATTTATTTGAGAGAGAGAGCACAAGAGAGGGTAGGGTCAGAGGGAGAAGCAGACTCCCCGCTAAGCAGGGAGACCCGATACGGGGCTTGATCCCGGCACTCCGGGATCATGACCTGAGCCGAAGGCAGTCGCTTAACCACCCAGGTGCCCGAGTTTGGTAAGTTCTTTATAGATTTTGGATACTAGCCCTTTATCTGATATGTCATTTGCAAATACCTTCTCCCATTCTGTCGGTTGTCTTTGGGTTTTGTTTCCTTCACTGTGCAAAAACTTTTATCCTGATGAGGTCCCATTAGTTCATTTTTGCTTTTGTTTCCCTTGCCTTTGGAGATGTGTCTAGCAAGAAGTTGCTACGGCCGAGGTCGAAGAGGTTGCTGCCTGTGTTCTCCTCTAGGATTTTGATGGATTCCTGTCTCATATTCAGGTCTTTCATCCATTTTGACTCTATTTTTTGTGAATGGCGTAAGGAAATTGTCCAGTTTCATTCTGCATGTGCCTGTCCGATTTTCCCAACACCATTTGTTGAAAAGGCTTTTTCCATTGGATATTCTTTCCTGCTTTGCTGAAGATTAGTTGACCATAGAGTTGAGGGTCCATTTTTGGGTTCTCTATTCTGTTCCACCGATCTATGTGTCTGTTTTTCTGCCTATACCACACTGTCTTGACAATAACAGCTTTGTAATAGAGCTTGAAGTCCAGAATTGTGATGCCGCCAGTTTTCGTTTTGTTTTTCAACATTCCTTTGGCTAATCGGGGTCTTTTCTGGTTCCATATAAATTTTAGGACAATTGGTTCCAGCTCTGTGAAAAAAGTTGATGGTATTTTGACAGGGATTGCATTGAATGTGTAGATTGCTCTAGGCAGCATGGACATTTTAACAATATTTGTTCTTCCAATCCATGAGCATGGAACGTTTTTCCATTTCTTCATGTCTTCCTCAATTTCTTTCCCAAGTGTTCTATAGTATTCTGAGCATAGATCCTTTGCCTCTTTGGTGAGGTTTATTTCTATGTATCTTCTTATGGTTTTGGGTGCAATTGTAAATGGGACAGACTCCTTAATTTTTCTTTCTTCTGTCTCAGTGTATAGAAATGCAACTGATTTCTGAATAGAAATGCACTGATTTTATGTCCTGCCTCTTTGCTGAATTCTTGTATGAGTTCTAGCAATTTTGGGGTGGAGTCTTTTGGGTTTTCCACATAGAGTATCATGTCATCTGTGAAGAGTGAGTTTGACTTCTTTGCCGATTCTGATGCCTTTTATTTCTTTTTGTTATCTGACTGCTGAGGCTAGGACTTCCAGTGCTATGCTGAACAGCAGTGGTGATAGTGGACACCCCTGCCATATTCCTGACCTTAGGGGAAAAGCTCTCAGTTTTTCCCCATTAAGAATGATATTTGCTGTGGGCTTTTCATATATGGCTTTTATGATATTGAGGTATGTTCCCTCTATCCCTACACTGTGAAGAGTTTTAATCAAGAAAGGATGCTGTACTTTGTCAAACACTTTCCTGCATCAACTGAGAGGATCATATGGTTCTTGTCCTTTTATTGATGTAGTGCATCAAGTTGATTGATTTGTGGATGCTGAACCACCCTTGCAGCCCAGGAATAAATCCCACTTGGTCATGGTGAATAATCCTTTTAATATACTGTTGGATCCAATTGGCTAGTATTTTGGTGAGAATTTTTGCATCCATGTTCATCAGGGATATTGGTCTGTAATTCTCCTTTTTGGTGGGATCTTTGTCTGGTTTTGGGATCAAGGTAATGCTGGCCTCAGAGAAAGAGTTTGGAAATTTTCCTTCCATTTCTATTTTTTGAAACAGCTTCAGAAGAATAGGTATTAATTCTTCTTTAAATGTTTGGTAGAATTCCCCTGGGAAGCCATCTGGCCCTGGGCTCCTGTTTGTTGGGAGAATTTTGATTACTGTTTTAATTTCCTTGCTGGTTATGGGTCTGTTCAGGTTTACTATTTCTTCTTGTTCCTGTTTTGGTAGTTTGTACATCTCTAGGAATGCATCCATTTCTTCCAGATTGCCTAATTTGTTGGCATATAGTTGCTCATAATATTTTCTTATAATTGTTTGTATTTCTTTGGTGTTGGTTGTGATCTCTCCTCTTTCATTCGTGATTTTATTTATTTGGGTCCTTTCTCCTTTCTTTTTGATGTCTGACTAGAGGTTTATCGATCTTATTAATTCTTTCCAAGAACCAGCTCCTAGTTTTGTTGATCTGTTCTACTGTTCTCTTGGTTTCTATTTCATTGATTTCTGCTCTAATCTTTATTATTTCTTTTCTCCTGCTGTGTCAAGGCTTTATTTGCTCTTCTTTCTCCAGCTCCTTCAGGTGTAGGGTTAGGTTGTGTATTTGAGGGCTTTCTTGTTTCTTGAGAAAGGCTTGTATTGCTATATACTTCCCCCTTAGGACCACCTTTGTTGCATCCCAAAAATTTTGAACAGTTGTGTTTTCATTTTCACTTGTTTCCATGAATTCTTCTTTAATTTCCTGGTTGACTCATTCATGCTTCAGTAGGATACTCTTTAGCCTCCATGTATTTGCGTTCTTTCCAAATTTCCTCTTGTGATTGAGTTCCAGTTTCAAAGCACTGTGGTCCAAAAATTGCAGGAAATGATCCCAATCTTTTGGTACCAGTTGAAGACCTGATTTGTGACCCAGTATGTGATCTATTCTGAAGAATGTTCCATGTGCACTCAAGAAGAATGTGTATTCTGTTGCTTTGGGATGGAATGTTCTGCATATATCTGTGAAGTCCACCTGGTCCAGTGTGTCATTCAAAGTCCTTATTTCCTTGTTGATCTTCGACGGATTTCATTTTAATTGCTACCAATTATTTGCATTTATTTATTTTCACTAATTTAATTGCTTTTCAATAAATTCTTATAACCATTATTACAACAGCTGGAATAAAAAACTTCATCAACCTAGCAAATAAATTGGTTTTACTTTTTCTGCCTTTCTTTATACACTTGTATATACATTGTACAGAGCTGTAATACTCCGTGTGTACATACATGTTTATTAAAATCTTATTGTAAATATTTTATCTTCTCAGATTATTCCAAAATGTTTTTTATCTTTGAATTAATTTTACAAATCTGTAATATATTCATGGGGTTCAAAAATCAACAAGCCTTGAAAAGGCAGTCAGTAAATCCTCCCCACTCTTGTCTACTATGTGCCTAGCTAGTTCTTCTTTATTTTCCTCAAAGAAAACCATTTCTTTCCTTTTCTTATCAGTCCAGTTTCTTTATGCACCTATAAAGAAGCATGAATGTAGATTTTTACCTCAAAGGCATGTAATATGTACACTATCGACAGTGTGTTTTTTCACTTAGCGGTGTCCCTTCTACCAGTACAATGGCAGCTGTCTTACACTTTTTCTGTATCCATAGGGCTTCCATTCCATGTGTATACCACAGTTTATTAAAGTAAACACCGGTAGACAGACTTTTAGTTGCTTCTAAACATTACTTATCCCAAGTACAAGAGGTCTCATGGCGGACACAGTGGCGGGCTTCCCCCCAACATCCCTTCCACCTCTCCCCTCTGTGCAGTCTCTAGGCGGTGTGGGTTTGTGTGGCCCCACTCCACTTCCAGAAGTGGGCTCCGATTCGTTTAAATCAACACAGCACAGCCAAGATGGAGGGACAGGGACTGGATTTACCCTCCTGCCTGAACCAACTAAGAAAATGGACAAAACATATGAACCAGTAAGTTCCAAGACACCGAACATCAGTGAACAAAGGAGAGTGACCCCTGAGGGAGGGAAAACAAACGAGGCGAACCCTGGGGCTGCCCCAGCCTACTGCCTGGAGAGTTTCTGAGGTGCAGGGTGGGGAAATCAGCTGGAGCCTGTGAAGCTCCCCTAGATGAAGAGGCAGAGCTGAGAGTCTGGTCGGTGGCTAGAGTTTTCAGGGAAGAGTACTGGGGAGGAGAGCTGCAGAGAGTGGGCTCCACAGAGCCAGAGAGAACCCCCTGGAGTATTCACCAGTGCACTCACAGGAGGAGGAAG